CCTGGAGCAAATTGATTGGAGTAAAACGACGCTACAAAGTCGGAAACGTCTATTCGAAAGCGGCGACATAGCAGAAAATGAGGAATGCATGTAGGAAATTATTACTAATTAACGCGTCACCCTTGAGCAGAAAACGCTTCTATCTTGTCGAACAGTGGATCAATCGACCGCTGACCAGAGGATTAGGCGAGTGTCCTTTCCGGAAGAGCAGTCGAGGGCAAAAGCGTCTTCTCCTGATTGGTCAGTCCAGAGGAGGTGCCGAATGGTTGGTGCAGCCCTACGATTTCAACTCGGAGACTGATGTGCCCTTGGTCCGCGTCAAAGAGCGTTTTAGTGGGGCCTACGTCAGCGTTGACGGTGAGCTAGCCTCTTGTTTTTCAGTTCCTCAGTTATTGGTCACCCAACCGCAACCTAAAGCATATCCACGCATGTAAAATATAAGGCAAAGTCTCATCTCCTGTAAGAGAACAACACCGAACTTTCACAAATAGATAGATGAGCGTGCAGTTTTTAAAGTGCAAAAAAAGTTAGGCTGTAATAAAATTTAACATTAAAAGAATCGTCGCTAGGGATAAATTTTAATTCCCTATGACTCGATGTTGGTAACAGGCTCTCTGCTTATTGAAGAAAAATACTTTCTAAAATGATATACGCCCTAATACAGGGTTATGCAAATCATTACGCGAGCTTCAATGATGGTGGTAACCAACAGTAGCTCACTATCATAGGAAATTATGTAATCGCATGATACAGCTGGGATACGTTCATTAATTTTCTGACGTTTCGTGCATTTGAGCCTATCATTCATACGCGGAGCGTATAAACTTGTAGAAAGTTGCGAAATCATCAACCAACCCATGTGTGGCCCTTATAGAAGTGGGTTAAGTAAAACTCTTGCCGGTGCGATCTACAGGCCTGGTTCCTTAGGGGAAGAGAAGAAGTGAAACGCTAGATGGAATGAATAGCGCATTCTGTACAGAGGAAGTGGAGACTCGATAGGGGGAAGTTGACTGTCGGTCAAGTGCACGACCACTCACGAGTGGGTCGGTATCCCAAATGTGTGGGCGTGGCAATCATCATAGCGTCCA